CTTCGTTAAGTACTTTCCGAGTTATGAGGCACGAAGGTTGCAGTACCGCCGACATTAGCATTATCCAAGATGTACCGCGTGGAGGTTGCACGGTCGGATTTACATCTCGTGTGTGTATGCGTGCGTGTGTGCGTGCGTGTGTAAAAAGATGAGTGAGTGAGCGATTGAATGAGTATGCATCTACAAATATAAATGTTCAAATTATTGATCTTCTTCAATTTGACACTGAGGCAGTCAATTATGAAAGCTCCTACTAACATTTTCCAATGTTTTGGAGGTAATTAATGCCATTTCAGTGGTAATTCGATGTCGCAAATCATCCAAATTTTAAGGTTTTGTTTTGTAAACGCGATCTTTTAAATAACTCCAAAAGAAAAAATCCAAAGGATTCATGTCAGGTGATCGGGATGGTCACTCGATTGGTTACCTACTTCCGAACCATCTTTCAGAAAAAATATTTAAAAACTGTCTTACCTGCAATCCAAAATGTGGAGGGACACCATACTGCTGAAACCAAACTGTATCAAAATTTAAACTGTATCAAAATTTAAACTGAAAATATTGCGAATAGCAGGAATAATATCGTCTTGATATTTAAAAGATCGCGTTTACAAAACAAAACTTCAAAATTTGGATGATTCGGTGGCATTAATTACCTCCGAAACATTGGAAAATGTTAGTAGGAGCTTTCATGATCGACTGCTTCAGTGTCAAATTGAAGGTCAACAATTCGAACATTTATATTTGTAGACGCATACTCATTCAATTGCTCACTCACTCATCTTTTTGCACACGCATGCATATACGCACGCACGCACGCACACACACACACACACACGCACATACGCACCCACACACGAGATGTAAATCTGTCCGTGTAATCTCCACGCGGTACATCTTGGGTAATGCTAATGTCGGTACTGCAACCTTCGTGCCTCATAACTCGGAAAGTACTTAACGAAGAAAAACTTTGTTATAGTGTTTTGGAAAACTCTCGAGGTAAGTTACAAGAATGTGTAATAAAAAATGGAGGATTCCATTTACAAATATCAGGTTGACCTTAACCTGAGCTTGGCAATGCCACTCAAGGTAAAGCGGATATTACTGTTGAATGCATCTTTTTAAACCTTATAACTTTTGTTTGAAATGTTTTTTTCTAAAATTCATTTTTTAAGAGATATTTGAGTGTTTCCAGACTTTTACCACATCCTGTATAATATTAAATTTAACATATTAAGCTTTAAGTTATTTTTTGTTTTATTTTTTATTAAATTAAGTTGACTGAATATAAGCTTAACTTCTATATTTGATGACGGAAGCATCAAAAATAATAAAGATATTTCCGCAATATTTTTAAAAGGATTGTCATAAAGCTGTATTAGTTTATTTTTCTTTCTCTTTTTCAATATCTCTAATTCTCAATATTTTTCAATATCTCTAATTCTCAATATCTGGCTACAAGTATATATATAAAATCTCCACTCCAACGTTGTCAATTATATTTTTAGCAGAAATAGATAAGTGTTATCTTTAAATATCTATCGTATATCTTGCAATGGAAACCAAAATCACATGCGCATATTACATTTTTACAATTGGCGATTATCTCTGCGTTTGTCTTTGCTCTTATTGAGCAGATTATTATCAGAAAGTAGTTGGCAATTACGATTCACAATTTTCAATATAATTGGTCAAGAAACGCAGACATAATTGTTGATATGATATGAGCAAAATAGCTAACTAGCTATTCGTCACTTTTATAAAAATATCTAGAAAAATAGCTAAATAGTTAAAGTCAATTTTTGCGAGCTAGATACAAATTATAAAGGCTAGATTTAGCTGGAAAATAGCTAAGTTAGCAAAACTGCTGCTACCTCCGACTCAATATATGACCCCGAAAAGTATACAGAAATCTCGCGCATGCGCCGATGGTCCGACATTCACGTGTGATTGGTTGAATCAAAACACATTTCTTCTATTTGCATTGGCCATATTGCTTATGTAGCCCCTCTCCTTGCGGACCACCAATTTCACGCATGCGCAGATGCTTGATTCTAATATATACTTTTTAGGGCCAATTTTGTGCTACAGTATACAAGAGAGTTAGCAGTCTAGTTATATTATAGAAGTCTGTGATTGTAGCACACGATAGAGATTTTTACATTAACAATGAATATTGGAAAGCAACTAGTGTAGCGAACAGTTGATTGCAGCAGGCACTCCACATTAGCGCTTGCGTCTCACGATGAGTTGCGCCGTCCCTGTCTACTTTCTGTATCCGACATGTAATTAAGGTAACTATTTTTGTTAATAACTTAAAAAATAAATTTTTTATAAAGTTTTGCAAGAAGGAAAAGTGTTTTATAATTATGTCAGTGTTTTGCATTTTTATTTTTAAAAGGTTGTTTTGAATTATCTTGTATGTATATATAATATATATTGTTATTATTTCTAAATTGAATTAATAGCGATAAAACAGAAAAAAGGAAAAAAAATTTCTGTATAAAATTATTATTAATAATTATATTTTCATAAAAATTCAAATTTTATCATGTAATTGTGAAATACCATACGATTGGCATATGGGCTTGTGACATCACAATGTTATACGCCATCTCGTGAAAATAGGAAATAATGTGTTTATAAAGTCGATTATAATATGTTTAAAAAGTTGTAGTTCTCCGAACGACTTAAAATTATTAATAAAGATGATTTAGCCGAATTTCTATGCAGCAATGTGTGAAAAAAGGTCCATAGAAGCAAATAGTAATAATTTGCTTTTCGTGTTCAAAAGATATAACACATTCATTTGAATCCCTAGGTACGCTTTCATGTTAATATTTATGAAATAGTTTGTTATATTCAGTATGTCTCGATCTTTTTTATTTATCTTACTAGAATCGTCGAGACTTGTTTGGTCACAAGCATATATTAATCGTGAGAACTACTTACACTTATCGATATAATTGTAATGCTTTTCAATTGGAGTTATTTGTACAGGACTTTAAAAGTAACAGGTTTTGTCGGAGAATATATGCAATACTGTGTCGCATCATGGAAATTTGTATTCCGACGTCTTTTCTTGTATTCGCAATCTCACACATAGTGAAAGTTTGTTCTGTTCGAGATATTGCAGATTCATATATTGTAAATTTATTTAGGGCAATAGTTATACTGTGTTCCAATGTATCTGCAGTATTTGACGAAAATTTCTCGAATGCTTCTCATTTAATTCTACTTTTCTTTATCGTTCTTTTGTTACTTATATATTATTACGTGGAGATAAGCATGTTCTACGTTTACAGTCGGGCTAACATTCGAATTTATATATAACAGAATAACGTTTTTTTTCAATTTTCACCGGACTTCCCATCAACATGTAATAGTAATAATTTTACATATCTTCTCGCAGCTGTAAATATAAATTATTTTTAATGTAAGTACGAAATTAGATTTGGAGTTGTTAATAAGTGAAATACTACGGGAAAAATAATAATTTGACAATTTAACATCTATTTAGACCATGCAAAAATGTTTATTTACTTTGAAATGATCTTCACAACAAAAAATTAGATTTTCTGCTTTTGTTCTCCGAGCATTATATCATTTCTGACGAAGTTGTATGTTCTATGATACTATCGAGAATACTTTATTTGGTATACTTTTGATTATACTATAGAGATTGATGAAACACGTCCTATATATTTTAATTGTTGCTATTTCTATTAAAAAAATCGAAATATCACAATAGATATTGTATATAACATTGCATATATAACGGCATGTCGTACACAGGGTGTCCGGAATGTGATCAGTAATTTTTTGTGTACTGGTAGATTGGGTGTAGCCGAGAAGAAAAGTCATGTACCATAATGTCAAATTGGCAATAGTTATCGAGTTATTAATTGAAACATGTGAGCCAATGAGCGCAGAGAGAGCGCTGGGCGGCCGCCTCTTATTGTTTGCGCTCGCTCGCTCGTCGTCGCGCGCGCACGCCTCTTGTCGCTTACAGTTGCCTCTCGCCGTGCGAGGTAAGCCATTTTCTTATTCACAGAGCCTGTCCTGTCGCTTTCTCGTGCGCTCATTCGTTTACACATTTTAATTAATTACGGAATAAATATTGAAAAAATTGTAAAATGGCACAGGACTTTTTTAATTGTTTTAACGAGTTCTACCAGTACACAAAATATTAATGATCACATTCCGGACACCCTGTATAACGACATATAACATTGCGATGTTACAGACCAATCAAGTAACTTCGGACTTGTCGGCTATGAATTTGAAACAATATTTTACAAAATTTATATCTCGGTTAATATGAAAAGAAAACAAAATAATTTTTTTCTATAAAACATATATACAGGGTGTCTCAGAACTTTGGGACACGGGCTCCGTAGGGACATAGAGCTAAGTGAGAAGAACAAAAAAGTCCTCTACCATAATGTGAAAATCGTAATAGTTTTTAGTAATAACCGCGTAAAGTTTGGCGTTTTCCACGCCCATCGCGGCCTATAGACGCTCTGCGGCAAGCTGTGTGCGTAGGAGCTGAGCAATAACGCGTTTCGCGCTAACTGTCGCGATGGCGCCTTGATGCTTTGACGCCGCGCGACGGTTAACGCGAGCCGCGTTATTGCTCAGCTCCTACGCACACAGCTTGCCGCGGAACGTCTATAGGCCGCGATGGGCGTGGAAAACGCCAAACTTTACGCGGTTATTACTAAAAACTATTACGATTTTCACATTATGGTAGAGGACTTTTTTGTTCCTCTCACTTAGCCCTACGGAGACCGTGTCCCAAAGTTCTGAGACACCCTGTATACATTTTTTAAATATTCCAAAAAGTTACGTTCAAAAACCCAATTTCTATAAATCTTTATATCATATTTATTTCCTACTATTTTTATTATTAATTTTTTCTTTTATTGATTTGATTTTTCTTTTAAGAATAGTAAATTAATTTCATTAGTCTTAACAGACATCATAGACGTTTTACAGAAACAAGGCTATACTGTATACTTTCATGATCGAAACGACATGTGCATGCATGGCTGTAACATCCCTATTAACAGAATTCCGAAATGGAAACTTAGCCTACAGGGAATGGTTGCCGTACAACTACTCCTCTGATATATTATTTTACGTTACATACTTTCATCAATTAATAAGTTTGACGGCTGCATCTATTGTAAATGTCGCCTGCGATAATATAATCTGCGGATTATTGCTGCATATTTGTTGCCAAATTGAAATCTTGGAGTGTCGGCTGAAGAAATCTTTACATAATCAAAGCGATTTTGGCGAATCCGTGCATGTACATAATCACATTTACAAGTTAGTTTCGACACGAATAATTATATATAACTCAATATAGTTACGGTTTAATAATATTTTTCTCATAGGTTCGCATGTGCAATGAATGAAAAATTCAGGTTTATCATTGCCGTTCAGTTCATAGTGAGCACATTAGTGGTGTGCTCCAGTCTTTATCGACTGGCAAAGACAGAGTTAAGCGCGCAATATATTCCACTAGCGTTATATACAATCTGCATGCTGATACAAATCCTCATTTATTGTTGGTACGGGAACGAAGTGAAACTAAAGGTATTGATTAACACGTTGAATACCGTAATGATCATCAGTAATCAGAATACCATTGCGTCTCATTAAGTTACTTATAATTAATTATATTTGAAAAATTGAACATATACGAAGAATGAAAAGTAATAAAAAATATATTACGTTCATATTTGTCACATCTTTGATAATTTAATCATCAAATGAATTTTTATATAATCAACAAAAATCAGTGTGACAATTAATATACTCAGTGTATCATGATCACTTCGTGCTAATAATTAATACGAATAGTGACAATAAAATTTTAGCGAAACAGAATAAAAAGCAAAAGGTCAAGAAAGGAGAAAGAGATGATAGAATTATTTCTTTTTCATTCTGAACAATATCATTTTTAGCTAATGTTCTTTTATGTAATATGTTAATTATAATCTCTAACTATAAAACTTTTTAACTATAAATAAAAATGTTATTTTTGAAATTACATCCATTTATATTCATTTTATAATTTTTATTGCAGAGCATTCAACTTGCTGATCAAATCTTCGACATGAACTGGTTGGTATTAGATAAAAAAATGAAAGAAAATCTTATAATGATTATGAACCGTTCTTTAATGCCTATCGAGTTTTCCAGTGCACATATTCTTACATTGAATCTCGAATCTTTTGGAAAGGTTAGAGACAAATTTACAGTAGTGATCGATTTTGTCAATAAAATTTTACATGAGGAAAACTTATCATTTTTATTATTTTTATTTTGTGACAAAGTCGATTATTAATTTTTTATCAAACATTTAAAAATGATTTAAAAATATTAACATATTTCACAGCTCCTTAAGGCATCATATTCAATATATAACGTCCTTCAACTTATGTAAGACGAAATTGTGTATTAATCTTATGAATAAGATTCAACATAAAGATAATAGTCAAGTTCAAATTAAAAGTAATGTATTTATTGAAAATCCATTAGTGCATGAGCTAATTATCGTAATGAATGACCAATGTATCGGATGAAAAAATACGATACTTTTAAGAAATATATTACTAGTTATTTCCTATATATGTATATGTGTGTGTGCGTACAGAAATCCTTAATATGAAAGATCTTTGTTTTACGATACCATAAACAAATTTCCAAACGTAAATCAGTATATTGTTATGTGTATTTGATTATGATATTATAGATGCTTGTAATAAACATCTTTTTACACGTACATTATTAATGCAGAAATCGTTAAGAAACGATATGCTTGTGACGCCTGGTGTACGTCTGAGCGAGTCCTTCCCGTGAATAGGTTTCGCGATAGGGCTCCGTTGAGACACGACTCGCCGGAGTTTTCCAGAGGCGGGAAGAGATCGCGCTCAATTTATTGCTCTCACGTAGTCTAAATAGTGCTTTATTTAAAGAAGACTTAACATACGTGAAAAATTCTTAATAATATGTATAAGGTGAAAAGAACAGTCGAGGTGCGGTATCGTACCGGTAGATCGTGACCGGTGGATAGGTCGTTTAGTTAGGTCCGGCCGTGATTGACTCCGAGATGAAGCGTCTACGGTTTTCCGCGGGGATCGCTCGCTCGCTAATCGTTTTATCTCGCGGAGGGTGGTCGGTCGCGGCCGTCACCGTTATATTCGCGGCACGCGAGAGTTACGTTAAATCGCCGGTGGTCGAGAAACACCAAGACTACTCGGGTTGATATTGAGCACGCTCGACGAGGATTCGGGAAACGGAGTTATTCGTTTCCCGGGATGGCGAGAACACTCCCTTCTGGAAAAAATAGAGTACTCTCTATTCGGGAGATATTAGCGAGGACACTCGCTTCGGAGGCAATAGAGCACTCTCTATTCGATAAGTATTAGCGAGGACACTCGCTTCGGATGAAATAGAACACTCTATTCGGTACGTATCAGCGAGGACACTCGCTTCGGATGGAATAGAGCATTTTCGATTCGGTACGTATTAGCGAGGACACTCGCTTCGAATGCGGCGAGGACACTCGCTCCAGGAAATGGTGAGCACACTAAAAGATCTCTCTCGATGTTCGTGCCTTATATCGCCCGTACGACAATGAGGGCATGTTTGGTATACTGAAAATTGCAAAGTTTGACGAAATGCACGGATGTGGACAATTTTTTTCAGGGACAACGTTTGCATCGTCATAAAGTTCAAATCTTCCCCTCCAATTTGAAAAAATGGAGTTGTTCTCCATGGGACATAAAAATATATGGACAGAGCATAGAGCTGCGAGGATGGTCCATGAAGGGTGAAGGGAAAGAAATGTATATTATAACGGATATGAGAGACTAAGATAGCGACAGTCATTAGTGTCACGGAATTATATATTTCAACATAAAAATAATTACTGTAAATGATAAAGAAACAACTACTAATATACTATACTATTATACTAATATACTAATATACTAATATTATTAAGGGGGGAACCTGGTTTAAGAAGCTAAAAAAAAGGAGATTTTTATGAATTTTTTTTTATTGACAATGATGCAGTTGAAGTTCCTAAAACTTTGATAATATTTAACTGCCTATTTGAAGATATAAAAAAAATTTTTATATTGTAAAATAATTGCAAAATGGCGCCATGGTGCATCTCTAATCAAAGCGCCTCGCCAACCGAGTTGCCAATCTGCGGGGAAAATGTAGCCTGCAATTTTGATCTGAAATAAAAAAATCAAAAAGATTATTAATTTTCATATATTTTTATTCTATGTGAACCAACAACATGGTTAAAAAACCGTAAAATACAAAACTTTTTAGCACTTGAACAAAAAAATGACATTTTTGAGAAAAAATTTCCTCCGTTTTTATGCAATAACAATTATTTAAATTAATGTTTTTGCCAATGTTTGAGGTCCACATAGAATGGTTGTTCATTTTCTCTAGCTAACGCATTTCCCGTCTATCTCCGGCGGGCCCTGGCGGCCTACTTCGAGGGCAGAGACCTCGTCTTCGCCAAAAAAGGCGGGGTGCAAGGCCGGCGCGCTATGGAGCGCGGTGTTCCACAGGGGTCCGTTTTGGGGTCCCTGTTGTGGAACATCGCCTTCGACCGGGTGTTGCGCACTCCCCTCCCCTTCGGGGCCCATGTAGTCTGCTACGCAGACGATACATTGGTGCTTGCCGAGGGGGAGACCTGGGGGGAAGCCCGCCTCCAAGTGGTGGTAGCACTAGCATCGGTGGTGGGTGAAATCCGGGATCTCCTGGGTCTCAGGGTGGCGCCCCATAAGACTGAATGCATGTTTTTTCATGATGGCAATCGCGGGGCGCCGCCGCCGACCCGGGTCCTCGTCGATGGAGTCCACGTCCGGGTGGGACAAACGATGAAATATCTGGGCCTCACGTTGGACAGTGGGTGGGACTTCCAGGCCCATTTTACGAATTTGGCCCCCCGGGTGCGCAGGGCAGGGCTAAAAGTAGCCAGCCTGATGCGCGCCCGGGGAGGTCCAGGATGGAGAGCCCGCCGCCTTTACGTCAATGTGGTGCTCTCGATGACCCTGTACGGGGCGCCTATTTAGGCGCCCTAGCTGGCGGCCACCGACCGCAGTAAGCGCCTGATGCGCCAGGCGCTGCGGCCGGTGATCATACGGGCCATTCGGGGGTACCGCACCGTATCCCATATGGCAGCGGGAGCCCTGGCCGGCTCCCCTCCCGTGGAGCTCATCGCCGAGGAGAGACATATTCTCTATTGGCGGATGCGTGAGCTCTGCGAGGAGAGGGAGCTAACGGCCAGGGGAGTGAGGGTCCTGAAGTCCCAGGCCAGAGCCCGGACCCTGGAAAAGTGGGCGGACTTGCTGTCCGACCCCCGGGGATTCGGGTGTCGAACGGCCGAGGCTGTCCGCCCCTGTCTAGCCGAGATGGCGGACAGGGCTCGGCGTGGATTAACGTTCCATCTGGTGCAGGTATTGACCGGACACGGTTGTTTCGGGTCGTACCTGCACCGGATCGGAAAGGAACCCACCACACGATGCCACCACTGCCCGGTGCTTGAGGACACTGTGGAGCACACCCTGACGCACTGTCAGGCGTAGGCTCCGCAACGCAATGTCCTCTCCCGGGCGGTGGGGTGCCGGGAGGGGGACATCTCGCTCCCGCACTTGGTCCGGACCATGTGCAGAAGCGAGGAGGGGTGGGGAGCTGTGGCCTCCTTCGCGCGGGATGTAATGTCCTGGAAGGAGGCCGCAGAGTGGGAGCGTCGCCCGGGAGTCCGTCGATGGGAGCGGCGGATAGGGCGGCGCTCCCCTGGGTTGGACAGCGAGCCAGAGGTGGCGCCGGCCGAGGAAAGGCCCCCGATTCCTCGGGGACTCCCTCGGCCGCCTCGGGCTCAACTCCGTACGCGCGGGGGAGGTCGGAGGTAACTGACCTTCCCCGCACGCCTCGGACAAGAAGGAAGGGGGGAGTGAAGGCCCGTTTGGGGACGGGCCTCACTCCTCCGCCCCCCTCGACCGGTGTGCATACTGGAGAGGGGCGGGGAGGGAGAGTGGATGTCCTCTCTCTGTCGTAATCGGGAACTAGAAGGCCAACCTGATCAATCACTGATCGGGGCACCGCGCTCTGACCGCCTCCCTGCGGAGGGGGGCTTGGGAGCGCGGTATTTAAGGCGTGGGGCTCCCATAACGGGCTCGTCTGGGGCCGGGGTATCGGGGAGGGAATGCGGGAGCAGTTCCCCTGACTTCCCCCACACCGGTACGAACGGTAGACATCCCGCAGGAGTTTTAGTCGGTAAGAGTCCGACATAACCCTCGACCCCCCCCAAGGGTCGAGGGTATCCATGATAGATTTCTCCTGCGTGAACAAAATAAAAAAAGCTAACGCATTTTGAATCAAGTCGATTGATCAATTAGTTTTTTCTCTATCTTTCCCGCAGATTTTAAGAAAGTACGAAAATGATATTTCGAGAAAAACGCGTTTAAAGTTTGTGGTACAAAGAAATATCATTTATTGGAGACTTACCACAATCTTATGCTAATCAGCTATACCAGGGCCATACTGCAAGCCTTCAGCTTCTTCATAAAACTCGTTTCGTTGCATTTGCTCCAGTCTACGAGCTGTGCGAGCTTCCTTGGTCGTGCTGCTTCGGCGCCGCTCCCCTCTCGTAACTCGCTGCACATCGTAATTATCAGCGAACATTTTGCATTGCTGGCCGATATTAATTTCTAATAACTGCATTGTTAATGAAATGGCAGCGTAGCCTTCATTAAAGATGCCCAAATTTGCATCAATTTGAACAATTTTAAAGTCCGAATTGAGGTGTTTGGGAGCGATACGCCACACAGTCGAATTGAAGGATTCGTTGGAATTTTGTGTGTGCCCGCCTAAACATCTAGTCAAAAGATCTTCATTGGAAAGATCTTCATAGATCGAAGTAAGGTGTTTCTCAATATTAGGCTTTATAACTAGAGCAGGATGTTTATAGTTTACGAGTTGACCAGCGGCTTCAGCTTTGCGCCATTCGCACCAATTGTCGGCGCCTAAGGGGCAATTTCCATGTTTCGGCTTTTCATCGGTCGAGCAATAGTGGTAGAGTGTTGCCATTATGCTTTTTTTCATATCACCCACAGAATCTACATTTCGTCTTATAGCTAAACCGTAGTAAGTGGTTAATTTTTTTATGACGAGATCGGTCAATCTCCCCTTGCCGCCAAGCTTCTCCTTTTTTTTATATTTCGAAGCCGCGTCCCCATCCGCTTCTGAACATGTCTGACGCACTCATTTTTTTTTACGGGGCAATCTTCACCATACGGATTCAAAGTCAAAATGGACTTATACGTTATTTTTCTATGATTCTATAATAATGTAATGGATTCACAATAATATTATCAGTACTCGCTGTACTTAATTTTTTCGCACTGATGCTCTCGTCTAAATTATCACTTTCATTCTTGGAATGCTGGTTGCCACGAAATCTTCTTTTCGGGCAGTTTCGAAATGCGCTGCGAAGTACTTCTTCAGCCTTTTGGATACATATTTAAAACTGTCAAACGACTTTTGCTAAATAGAAACTCTTTACTCGTCGAGAATC